TGATCTAGTCTGCTTTTAATACTTTCCAGGGAGATTTTTACTTCTTGTATTATAGACTTCATCTCTAGCAGTTCCGTTTGAGTCTTTTGTAAAGTGTGTAATTCCTCTTTTAGATCTTGCAAGAATTTCATCTCCTGGAACTCATCAACTTCTTTCTCCTTTCTCTTTAGCAGTTCATTGTCTCTTTTCTCTTCCATCTCTGTTAGCTTAGACATTATGAATTATCTAAATTCCTTATCAGACAATTCCATGATTTTTACTGAACTGCTTGTGGATGAAGAAGAGTTACTATTTACCCTTGGAGGAGAGGTATTTTCTCATTTTCCCATATTTCTCATGATCCTGCAGTGATTTCTTGTCATCTGATGGATGGTGTGTTTCTTTCAAATTCTTGAAGTTCAGCCTTAATGTTCAGAAGCAAGCAGACAGAGGTGATCTAGAATCTCTTTGCCGTTCTGTTGTGATCACGCTAGCTCGTTTGTTGAAGGCTGAATTATCAGTAGGAAATCTTCATTCCCTGACAAATCTAGTTTGCTGGAGCCATGTGGAACCTTCTTCTGAAGGCCCGGCTTCTTCTGCCGCTAGCTCGTTTGTTGGAGGCTGAATTATCAGTAGGAAATCTTCATTCCCTGAAAAATCTCTGAATTCATATTCTTAATCCTGGACAAATACAGAGGTTTCTAAAATTATAGCTTTATAAAAATTATAGCTTTTTCAAAATTCATCAGAATGAAGTGCTATCTCTGTCACTGATACAAATACTCCATCAAAATTTCAGTATGTTTTCTTTTCCTCTGAGCAGCATCCAGTGCTTCAGGACAAGGTAGGATTATCCAAATTTTGAGCACTCTCCATGGACACCGTGTCCGGCAGAGCATGGTCAGCACAGCGGCAGGTTCCCCTCAGCGACCACACAGAAGGAACTCCCTATAAAATATTCTTGACAAAAATCTGAGCAAGCTTTTATAAACAGCAATTACAAAAAAATCTGCACAGTAAGAAGAAATGGAATGGGGGCCCAGCTGGTGGCATGGCGAAGGTAGCTGGAAGGTGGTGTGTAGACACATGCAGAAATGCACTTCCTAAGCTACTCTAGCAGGGCTATTTAAAAGCATCTTTATACGAAAACACTATCTGCCTCTTGTCAATTGTTGTCTTCCTATTGTTGTTGATAACCAATACCCAGAACTACCCAGTATAGGGCTAAAGGAAGTCACATGAATTTATCAGATTGTCCCTACAAAAAGATCAGAGAATTATATGGCACCAGTCATTTTCACATCTTCAGACGATTTACATCCCACATGGCTGACTGTGCAGTTCAAGTTTCAGATCGGGCAGCTTGAAAAACATGCTGGGTGCATTTGTTCATTAGAGAGACAGATAGAAACAGAGAGAAGGAAAGTGAGACAAATCAACTCCCCTCCCCCAGGGACAATGGCCATGCCATAATCCCCTCTCCATTCTCCTCTCAGGATTTTGGGCATGCACACACATGTACCCCATGTAATCTTCAAGCCGCTGGGTTCAGAACTTGAACGATGATCAACCATGTGGGAATGCAGTGCTTTAACCACCATGCCACCTGCTGGCCTGCTGGCATATCTTTCTTTCTTTGTTTTTTTATTTTTAAAGTTTTTGCCATAGGGCATGTGTGCTTGCTGGAGAGTGACAAAAAAAGACAATGAGAAATCACCTCCTGGGGAGATGGCCACAATGCAATCCCTTCTCCTCCATTCTCTTGGGATTTTGGGTACACATATAAGCCTGGCATGATTTTCAAGTCACTGGGTCCAGGACCTGAACCATGGCCAGCCATGGAAGTCCAGTACCTTATGACCACACCACTTGCTGGCCCCACTCAGTATCTTTCTTAAGAAATTATTTTATTTAAACAAACAAACAACACTATAACAATGTCATGAAGGCAAGAAAGCACATCAGCTCACCTCAGCCATGGTTTTCGGCATTGCAGGAGATGATTAGTCCTCCTCAGGGCTGTTCTCCTGAAAAAGGATAGTATTCTGAGAAGGCCAGACTGGAGAAGCAAAGAAATCCTCTGAAAGTCCCACTGGCCTTACATCTCTTAAAATAGCCACATCAAACTACCTCTAATTCCCTTGATAAAATGATACAGCTCTAGTTAGTGAGAGTATGGGACAAATCCCATTCCCTTCTCAATTCTAGAAACCCTAGGCTTTAGCTGTAGCAAGATGGACCCTGGTTAGCTAGATCCAAGAGAAGACATAGACCCAGATTCATTCTCCTTTGGCCCAATAACCAAGGTTTCTGCTTCACTCAGGAGATTCAGGCCAGACCTTGCCCACTTCAGTGAACTGTTGGTCTGAACCCAAGACTGAGCTGCTATGACCTGCCCTAAGCCAGACATGATCACCACCCAAAGGGTGCCCCTTGACCAGAAATACAACATACTCAGACCTGAAGGACTAAAAACTTCTCTAATATTCTTACTTCCCAAGCCCACAAAAGTCCACTGACTTCCCCTGACATGTACACACACATGTGCACAAAACACACAAAGAGGTACTCTTCAATCTTACTCTCTAGCTGTTGCATTTCTTTGCTTATCTGTTTTTGGCATGTCAAACAGTCAAACTGCCAGCTTTTCTTTTATGGTTTTTGGGTAAAATCTTTTTCAACTTACTATGTTCATATAAATTTCTCTATTATAATTGTAATGCTTTCATTTGTTACTGTTAATATTTTTAATTAAAAAAAGCTTTTGGGGGACCAACAGGTGGCATGGTGGTTAAGGTGCTAGACACTCCCACATGGTTGACCATGGTTCTAGTTCCAGACCTGGTGGCTTGCTTTCTCACTTTCCTCTTCTCTCTCTCTTTTTCTGTGTCTCTCTCTGGTCAAATTAAAAAATAAGTGAATGAATAAATAAAATAATTTTAAAAAGCTTTTAATCAATTATTATTGTATTTCATATAAGGTTATTTGGTGTGGAGAGCAGCCAATCTAGAAACCTATGATTAAAACATGTGGCGTGTAGACACATGCAGAAATGTACTTCCTAAGCTACTCTAGCAGGGCTATTTAAAAGCATCTATATATGAAAGCAGTATCTGCCTCTTGTCAATGGTTGTCTTCCTATTGTTGTTGATAACCAATACCCAGAACTACCCAGTATAGGCTAAAGGAAGTCACATGAGTTTATCAGATTGTCCCCACAAAAAGATCAGAGAAATTATATGGCACCAGTCATTTTCACATCTTCAGATGATTTACATCCAAAAACAACTGGCTTTGCATTCTGATCTCTCCTCCCTTATTCTCTTTGCATGCCACTTCCTTCTTCCCCATTCCTTTTACATCCCAGTTTCCCCTTCCTCCATTTTCTGCCCTTTAAGAGAATAAACCTGAGGCTGGTTCTGGTCACAACTTCTCCATCAGAGAAGCTGTGCCCACCTGATCCTCGCTTTTCTATACTTGTGTGTCTTTGTGTGTTTGTTATTGTGTCTATTTCTAATCCACAGCCTTCCCCACTCAGAGAAACATGTTCATGCTGAGCTAGTCTCAGCAATTCGGTAGTATAATATTAACAATTAGAATTTTATTTTACTATAACACACGAATTAGAAATCAAACTTAATTTTTTCCCCAAAGGGAACTAACTACTAAGATGTACCAAAGCCAAATAGTTCATGAGACTTGGGGCTGGCAAACGGTGTAGAAGTTAAGGTGCTGAACTCCCACATGGTCAACTGCAGTTTGAGTCCCAGACCTGGTGGCTCGCTTTCTCATTTTCCCTCTCTCTGGTCAAATTTAAAAAATAATAACAATGAATTAAATTTAAAAAGTAATTCTTTAAAAAATATATTTCATGACACTTAAAATGTATCATTATTTGATAAAATGCTAAGAAAGAAAAAAAATTTTATTGCCTGACTTCAGATATGTTGAAGTGAGAAAAAAAAAGGGAACCTTCCAACATATGACTATGAGATATATTTTCCCTACTGACTTAAAAAAAGCTTTTAATCAATTATTATTGTATTTCATATAAGGTTATTTGGTGTGGAGAGCAGCCAATCTAGAAACCTATGATTAAAACATGTGGCGTGTAGACACATGCAGAAATGTACTTCCTAAGCTACTCTAGCAGGGCTATTTAAAAGCATCTATATATGAAAGCAGTATCTGCCTCTTGTCAATGGTTGTCTTCCTATTGTTGTTGATAACCAATACCCAGAACTACCCAGTATAGGCTAAAGGAAGTCACATGAGTTTATCAGATTGTCCCCACAAAAAGATCAGAGAAATTATATGGCACCAGTCATTTTCACATCTTCAGATGATTTACATCCAAAAACAACTGGCTTTGCATTCTGATCTCTCCTCCCTTATTCTCTTTGCATGCCACTTCCTTCTTCCCCATTCCTTTTACATCCCAGTTTCCCCTTCCTCCATTTTCTGCCCTTTAAGAGAATAAACCTGAGGCTGGTTCTGGTCACAACTTCTCCATCAGAGAAGCTGTGCCCACCTGATCCTCGCTTTTCTATACTTGTGTGTCTTTGTGTGTTTGTTATTGTGTCTATTTCTAATCCACAGCCTTCCCCACTCAGAGAAACATGTTCATGCTGAGCTAGTCTCAGCAATTCGGTAGTATAATATTAACAATTAGAATTTTATTTTACTATAACACACGAATTAGAAATCAAACTTAATTTTTTCCCCAAAGGGAACTAACTACTAAGATGTACCAAAGCCAAATAGTTCATGAGACTTGGGGCTGGCAAACGGTGTAGAAGTTAAGGTGCTGAACTCCCACATGGTCAACTGCAGTTTGAGTCCCAGACCTGGTGGCTCGCTTTCTCATTTTCCCTCTCTCTGGTCAAATTTAAAAAATAATAACAATGAATTAAATTTAAAAAGTAATTCTTTAAAAAATATATTTCATGACACTTAAAATGTATCATTATTTGATAAAATGCTAAGAAAGAAAAAAAATTTTATTGCCTGACTTCAGATATGTTGAAGTGAGAAAAAAAAAGGGAACCTTCCAACATATGACTATGAGATATATTTTCCCTACTGACTTAAATGATACCATTATCATGATTCATATTTCAATCTAGTTGTGTTTCTACTTTGGTTCAGTGATTCATCTGTTTATTCTTTTGCCAGTACCCTACTCTGTATTTATTGTAATTTTTCTTTAATTTGCTAGAGGTTGCATGTACTCCCTGGAGGGAGAAGAGAGGCAGGAGAGAGAGAGAAGTGAGAAAATACCCCTACAGGGGACAGTCATGCCACAGATCCTTCTCTTTCATTTCTCCTTCCAGATTTTGGGCATGGATACACACTCACCCAGCGTGTTTTTCAAACCACTGGCTTGGGGACTTGAACTAGACAGTTGGCCATGTGGGATCTAGCTGTCTTAACCAACATGCCATTGGCTGGCCCTACTGTAATTTTTTTCATTGCCAGAAGGCACAGGGACTCACCAAAGAAAGACAGAGAGTGCACAAGAGAGAAAAGAGAGAAAGAAAAAAACACCCTCTGTTTCTTTATCACACTAGGATCTCTTTTCTTCAATTTCTCCATCCTGTTGGGATTTTGGGCGTATGTACACATACACCTGGGGTGTTTTTGAAGTCACTGGGGGCAGCACTTGAACATCAACTGGCCTGTGGGATCCAGCACTCACTCCATATTTATGAGCCGGCCCATATTTATTGTAATTTAAAAATATGTTTCACTTCTTAATAAAAGACTTTGCATCACTCAATGTTTTAGTAGTTTCCTAGTATTCTGACTTACTTTTCCGTAAGAAATTAGGTCAGTTAAAAATTGCACTGGTATTTTCCTTCAGATTCCTAAAAAGAATAGACTAACTAAAGGAGTTATGACATCTTTATGATGTTGTCATGATCTCTTAGAACACAGAATAGCTATTAAAATCAGTGTTTCTGGGGCCAGGAGGTAGTATGGTGGTTAAGGCACTGGACTCTCATATGGCTGACTATGGTTCAAGTCCTGGAATCAGTGGCTTGAAAATCACACCAGGCGCATGTGTGTGTGTGCTCAAAATCTCCACAGGAGAATGGAGGAGAAGGTACTGCAATATGTCCATCCCCCTAGGGGGTCATAAAAAAAATTCCCTCTCACTATCTCTATCTCTCTCTAGAACATAGAGACCTAGAGAAAGTAAGAAACCACCCCCTAGAGGGGATGGCCATCCCACAATCCCATTTCCTCCATTCTCCTTTTGGAATTCTAGGCATGTACACACACACACCCAGTTTGACTTTCAAGCTTCCAAGTCCAAGACTTGAACTGCAGTCACCATGTGGATGTCCAGCTCCTTAATCACCACACTACCTGCTGACCCCTAAAAGAGGTTTTGAAGAAAGAAAGCAAGACAATAGGGACCACAATATCCTGCATTCCATAATGAGAATCTTGGTCACTTTATCCAGGACTTGCAAAGGAGTGGACTGAGAAGTGACTGTGTGCCCTTGGTTTAACGCCTATTCCAAAGGTATTTCAGAGATTTTCAAGTGCATAAGAAAAGGCATTTTTTTCTTTGGAGAGGTTTTTGCTATAGGGCGCTTGCGTTCACCAGACAAACAGAGAGAGACAGACAGAAAGTGAGAAATCACCCCCCAGGGGGGATGGCCACGTTGCAATCCCTTCTCCTCCATTCTCCTCTCGGGATCTTGGGCACACATGCACACACGCCCAGCGTGAGTTTAAGCCACCAGGTCCGGGACTCAAACCACAGCTGACTACATGGGAGTCCAGCGACATAGCCATTACACTAACTGCTGGTCCCAGAAAAGGAGTTTTTTAAAGCATTTTTAAATTTATTATAGGGCATATATGCTTATGAGAGAGAGAGACAGAGAAAGAGAGAGTTAAAGGGAGAGAAAGTGAGAAAGCAAGCCACCAGATCTGGGACTCAAACCATGGTCACATGTGGGAGTCTAATGCCTTAACCACCACACCACCTGTTGGCCTGTAGAAAAGACTTTCT